CTTGGCTTCTTGAATGCTTACATGCGTACCATCGCTAAACATTCAAATTTGATGGGGCCCAACTTCTCGCGAGGAGTGACAATTGTGTGAGCCGCGAATTGCGAGTTACGCCTCCCCAGTCTATCGACAAGTGCACTGACCTGCCCAACCTATCTTCGGTACTGAGGCTGAGCTTGGCCAAAGCAAGTCACGCACGGGCGAACGCGACGTCTAATACCTGCGCCAGGGAGCGAGAGAGCCAAGCAATACTTATGCCCAAATCCAGCACGAATGACCCGCATGCCGGCCGTAAAGCAATAAGCGCACAACCATCCTCGATATCGGGGCAGCCGTTAGTTGTGATACGTACATGGGGGTATGGCAGGGGGTTAAGTAAGTTAAACCCTAGCAACTGCGATCTTCAGAACATGACTAATTAGGAGAGAAGAAATCTTGGAAAGGCCAGATTGCTAGAAACAGTAGATTGTGTACATGGAGGAACGAAGAATATATGGAAGAAATTTGGCTTGGGAGCACACGACCAGCCAGGAGGGCCAGCCGGGTCTAAGTGCCGCTTCACAGCAGTCAGGCCAGTGAGCAGAGAGAGAACAATTCACGCGTACAGGCTTGCCAGTCGTTGCCGTGCCTAGAAAGCATCTATGCGGCAACTGTGATTGGCTGTTTTCCGACGTCGAGAACAACAGCTGCGGGACTTTAGGAAAGTTCACTTCGATGCGAGCTAGTCACAACAGGGGCATAATGACTGTATCCTCTTGCAACTCCCCGTGCATGAATTGCCCCGTCTCTGATACTGTCTCTGATGATGGATTCGCGACGGAATCCGAAACGTCAGCTGAATAACATTTATGTTCCAGCGATCGTATCGACTTTGTCAAATTTAATTCCTGGGACTCGCATTTTTCGGGTTTAAGGCCACGACTGGGCATGAAACTAAAGAGGAGAATGTGGTAGAGAATCTGTGTGAAGACTGAAATGGCTGTTTCTGGCTCATTAGCCATCATCAGCCAGTCATACTCAGTCCTAAGTGGTGCAGTATAATACCCTAACCGCTGAGCCGCGAGCTCGTTGTGTTGCCGGTTTAGGTGGAGAGGTATTGACATTTGTTGATGGATGATCAACGGCCACTCACTGAACTCACTTGTCCCGCTCTGCCTTGGGCATAATTTCTCGGACCCTCACAACAGTCGTAGCGGCTTGTAGTCTTAGGCAGATAGTATTGAAGGAAAATCCTAGGAAGACCGGAATGGCTGCTACGACCAGTTTCGCAACAGACATGTTGTTCACGCACAGCCATCAGCAAAGAGCTCCAGTAGTATTATATGTAA